TCATGTTCATTGGTTGAAACGGCGAACGGGTTTCATGTTCATTGGTTGAAAGGTAACGGGTTTCATGTTCATTGGTTGAAAGGCAACAGGGTTTCATGTTCATTGGTTGAAAGGCAACGTGGTTTCATGTTCATTGGTTGAAAGGTAACGGGTTTCATGTTCATTGGTTGAAAGGCAACGGGTTTCATGTTCATTGGTTGAAAGGTAACGGGTCCATGCTTGTTCACAGGGGCCGAATATGCGAACAGACTACAAACATACATACGATGGAAAATCAGGAGCCACCAAGAGTTGGCGGCGGATTGATTGGTTGGCCTTAAATAGCCTCTTGCGGGTGATTGGTTGAACGGTTCGTATACGAACAGACTACGATGGAGAATCAGGAGCAACAAAGAATTAGCGGCGGACTTTGAGGGCTCAGCACAAGCCAAGTCAGAAACGGGTTTGCAAACAAAAAACAAAAGAGTTCAAGCAATACGGAAAAGAGGGTCAGATGAGAAAGACGGCAAAAAAAAACAAAAAACACACACACGCACTACCGTTTCTGTCTTTGATCCGGACAATAGATCAATCTCCCTCATGCCGCTCCCTCACGGGGTCCCAGCTAATGGCATTTAGAAGTGTTTTGTATTTTCAACAGACAGCACCGAGACTGACGTCTTTTCATTGGTCAGCCGGTTAGCGCGGTCGATGCTAGCAACAAAAAAACACACACACAGCGATGGGGCCACAAAAGAGGTGCGTGTGTGTGCCCATGACCTCGCACGAATAGTACTTCGACGATCCAAACAAAAATCACTTGCTGTACGCACTGCTGTCTTCTCACGTGCACATGACTACCCCTCCCGTGAGGTATCTCTGCTGCGCGTTCACGTCCACCTTGAAGCGCCGCTTGGGGTCCGACATATCCGCTACCCGGTACACCGCAACCTTCCATCGATCGTTCGATCGATCGTTCGATCGATCGTTCGGGAGATCAACATCAACATCGACATCGACATTGACATCGAGGGACAGACAAGCAGACAAGAGGGCGGCGGCGGGGGGACACATTAGGTTTGCTTGCTTGTTCTCTTCACAGCAGTTTCCTAACCTCAGAAATGTGAGATCGTTGGCTAACACAGCACACAGCTTTTTATCACTCACGACTGAACTCGACGAGACATCGTCCAAGTCACGCCGCATTTCTCTCTTCCGCACGTTACACGTTAAACTGACGCATCTCAACAACCAGCAAATACGACCTTGTAATCTGCCGCAGTAGTTCCGTGTCCTACTATATTAAAAAAAAAAAAAGGGTTTGAGAAAAACCATGTTGATATGTAGGCAAGAGAGGATAAAGGTACAAAGGAGATTTGAGAAACGTCATGAGGTCATGCGTAGGCGGGATGCAAAAGGGCTTAAGGTTAAGAGGTTTCCTATCAAGGCGCTTGGGTCAGTTGGACCAGTACGGATATTTAGAAGGTAATGAGATGAGCAGAAACCGGCAAAAATTACTAAATGGGAAGACAACAACAACAACAACAACAACCAAGAAGGTACTGAGCAGACACCGGAAAATCATTAATGGGAAGACAACAACAACAACAACAACAACAACAACAACAGCAACAACAGGCTACTGCTGTACCACACCTGCAACTCCTTGGAGGTGTCCTCGAGCAGCTTTCTCTTCCTCTTGTCCCTCTTCTCCTGGGGGGTGAGCTTGGCCGCCTGGTTCCGAGCCTCGTGCTCGGCCTTGCGGCGGTGCACCTGCCCCATCACCAGGGCTTCCACCTTCGAAGGGTCAACCACCGCCTGGTCCCCTAGCACCTGAGGAGAAAAACAAGAGAACACATGAATTGTTGGTCTTACTTATTAGCCCTAGCACTTGAGGCGAAAACAGAAGAGTAAGAGTAACGGTTGATCTTACGTTTCATCCAGGTGTAATCAATACCTGAGGTGCAGAAAAAAAAGAAGAAAAAAAAAATACAGCTGGTCTTCGAAGATTGTTCATCCCGTTTTGATCATCCCGTATGATTGTAGACCATTCGCAAGAGCTGCACTGGAGCCATGTGGGCAAATAAAAAGCTCCCCCCCAATTGTCGTTATTAGATGCCTACTAGATGAACAAGTGTCTTCACAAGCGACACCCTAACAGTCTGTACCGATATCCGACCCGTGACACCCAGCTTTCCGATCCGTGCACGCACCAACCAACCGGTACAAAAAAAAAAAAAAAAAGATACCAGGTACAAACAACATGCGCGTGAGCTCGCGTGATTTAATTATTGTGCATTTGAGCATTTGATTATTTATTTATTGTTTTTGGGGGAGACGTAAATAGTGTTAAACTGTTGTGCAAGGAGTCTAACCAAAACTGCAAAATACTGCTGCGGTTCCAAAAACGAGGCTTTGATTGGACGAGGTAACTCGCCCCATGTTGCACACACGCCGCAAATAACGTCGACAGGGTCAAACTCGGCTGAAAAAGGCCTACATTGCATCTTTAATCCTCACGTGGTAGGCGACAAAAAAAGCGGGAAGTGTATACAGAAAGTGAGAAAATATGCTCCGAAAAAGAAGCAACCAAGCGACACAGCAGAGGCGCAAGCACACCAACAGCGGAGAGGGGAAGGGGGGGCACCGTGGTTCATTCGAGCGAGCCTCACCATGCCACAAGAGTGTGGGGTATGACGGGTAAACGGCTAAGTTTGTTGCTGGAATAAAATCATCACCGCGGCGCCCCCTTGACAGGTCGCAACATCAAAACGACTGCCACGAGGGGGGTTTTCTGACAACGATTGCACAAGATCACATGCACGAGTCATTCGTCAGACCTCCCCTCTCGAATCCCTTGTGGAGCTGTATCCCGGATTTCTAGACACGGGCGCTGCGTGTCACCCGGACCACAACAACTCACGCTGGGGAAAAAGGAGGGGATACAAAACTTTTCACTCCACTCTTTCGTCTTCATCGAGGAAATAGGACACTTTTGTAGGTCAAAACAGGAAAGTGTAGAAAACGCAACACAGCATAACGCGGGTTGGTGTGTGGCTTCTCGGAAAACATACAGCAAGCGCATGTGGTACAGCGGTAGCCCAGACGCTTGCAGCGGCCTTCTGTCCCTCTCCACACCTGCATGAAGTTGCTCATGCTCATCTTCGGCTCCGGCGTTGGCAGCAGCCCGAGCGCGATCTTGTCTTGCTTTTCCCTGCCAGCAACAGCCGACAGCGGGAGGGAGGAGTATGTCAGCGGTGCGCGCGCGCGCGCGGGGGGGGGTGGGGGCAAGGAATGGAGTATATAGTTTGGTCCGAAAAACAGCGGTACACATACACACAAGCACCCCCATCCCCGGGGGGGATCGTAGCCCCTCCCCCCTACCGACACCGCACGAGAGAACACCCTATGATACAGAAAACCACCAAGAGCCCCCCCCCCTGTCAGGGTAGCCCCGAAGCCCAATCAACCCCTGGAATTTCTGGTTGGGCACAGCAAACGCCCAGGAAGATGACCAACTTCTGGGTCATCCCT